ATGCCACGTGTCACTAATTGATAGTGGACTTAGATTGACACGCGTCGCGTACCCATTGAATGGGTGAGCGTCGTTTAGATTTGTGGGTTTGAGTGGTTACACTTAACCATAGCCCAAACGTCACATTCTCGGCTGCCAGCTCATTCTCCAACCTCTCTCGCTTGTTCTCCAACTTCTGTCGCTCGGTCTCGAGCTTCTGCCTCTTGATCTTCTTCATCAGGTCGAGCTCCTCGGGATCCGCCTTCTTGCCCTCGGCCTCCACGATCTCGCCGAAGACGCGGGATGGATGCTCCTTTGGCAGCTGACTCTGCGCCTCCCTGTTGAGCCTGATCTCTCCCACGAGGGTCTCGTCCCCACCAAAATAACGCACGACGACGTCGGCGCATTTGAGGCGGAACTGAGCAGCCCTCTTGCCCGGCAGGAGATTGATGATGGTCCCGAGGCCTCGTGCACAGGTGACCGATGTTGGGCGCTGGCCAGTTCCCTCAAATTGGTAGTTGTATCTCGGGAATACAACTGCCGGAGGTCCGTTCAATTTGGACGGACTTCAGGATGCTGCAATTCTATAATCGTCCCATACTTTGTGTCGATTGAGAACTTCGGTCACGCCGTGGATGACGTCCACGACGCTCACTCTCGGTGGGGTTTCGCTCGTCCTCCTAATCCACATGCCCTCACCCAGGCCTTCCCCATGGATTATCAGGTGCTTGAATTCATCCACGACCTTAGGGCCCTCGATCCCGAAGAAATCGGCCACGAGCCCCGCGCACTCAGGGCGGAGGTCTACCGCCCTTGCGCCATCGAGGAGGGTGACTATCTGGTCGAACTTGCTAGCATGGAAGAGCGTGCTCTTCTTATGACCGTCAAAGCAGTGAACCTCGAGATCCAGATCGTCACCGCCCTCTCCAAGATCGAAGCGCAGGTTAGACAAGATGGACAGCGGTCTGTACGTATCGCCACACGTGATGACAATCAGGTCGACGGCGCTGATCCCAGGAAGGGGCCGGTCGACCTTGCGAATGATGGCTCCATCGAAAAGTCCCCTCCCACGATCAAGCGGCTCTCCTCGATGCAGATGCTCGGAAAGACCTATTGTTGGCTGGAGAGGGTTTGCTGTGGCGTTTTGGTCAAAAAGCTCTTCGCAGTAACTTCTTGAGTCCTGGATGATGCTTTATGATCACTGGCAGATTGCACCTCCACAGTCTTGGAGCCACATGAGCTCAAACGCGGGGCGTTCGGTCAAAAGTCGCCTCCTCCTTTATATCAAATAGTAGGGCGATTTTGACTGAGATCATCTCACGTGTTTGTCCGTGAGAAAGAGAGCTCCTGCTTTGGACGCAGATCAAGGAGCGACAGAGGCCGCAGAGGTGCATGCGGAGGTGGAACACATTTTGTGTTAGGTTCGAAAATGTCTGCAGCACCTTTGCAGTAACTTCTTGAGTCTTGGATGATGGTTTATGATCAGACTGCACTTCCACCGTCTTGGAGACACATGAGCTGAAACGGGGGGCGTTCAATCAAAAGTCGCCTCCTTCTTTATATCAAAGAGTAGGGCGGTTCTGATTTAATTGCAATCCGTTATTGCAGAAAAGACAACATGACTCAACGCATGCTTCTTCTACTTGAAAACAAGGCATCTGCAGCATGTCCGCGGTGCATAAAGCTTTTTCAATCGTAGCTCACGGGTCAAGGCCGCGATTGATGAGTCTCCGCAAACGCACCCAACAGTCGGCGGAAATGCAACTACGAACATCCGACATATCACAATCTGGATCCGCCATTCATGTGTCTCTTTACTTGGCGACGTGTATTTGTCAAGATGTATCGACTCGGATCACAAGCATAGGCTATCACTAACGGCGCTTATAACAAGCGCTATTGGGGGGGAATTAATCAGGTCTTCGATGTTACTGTGCGGTTGTTTGATTGGATGGTACTGTACAAGATTACTTGAAAGATATCCACATGTAGCAGCATGTTATCTCGTACTTGATTACAAGTCTTGATAACGGTATGAATCTTTACGCTTCTAGACTACGGGTCCGTATGTAGCGTGCACCTCTTTCCAGAGCTCCGGACCTGCGCTAAGCGTGCCCCTTCACGAACTTGTTGTTGCTCTTTTTCCCCGCCACCTTCACGAACTTCAGCCCTAAACCCTTCTCGAGGATTGACTTAACCACGTTGCGGTTCAATGCCTCCGTCATCTTCAGCTGGCCGTTCTCGTCTTTTTTCACCTTCTGCTTTATCTCGTATCGAAGCTTTGCTGTGTAGAGGTTTGACTCGATCAGTTTGGAGTAAGCAGCTTGGAGGTTCTTCTCAGACACGTGGTAAGAAGCTCCGAGTTGCAGACGGTCGAAATCCTTGGGGTCGATCTGGAGCATCTCAGCCAGCAGGCGGTATGCAAACACGACGCAGTGCTTGGCTTGGTCGCGAACCTTCAGGCAGTCCTTCGTGGGAAGGATATCATTCGCCTCGCTAAGGTCGTTGGCTTTATCCAGCGGCTCCGCCAATCTGTTCACCACTCCAAAGCCCTGCTGTTCGAGATCCTTTGTCAAGATGCCAACGTAGTTTGTGATGCTCTGGTACCTTGCCAGAATATTGTTGGCATAGATATTGCAGGTTGCAGACTCTCAATCGCAGATGGGCAGCTTGCCCGGCCTCTCCAAGAAGTCAAGCACCGCAGAGGGTTTCACTAGAGCGTGCAACTCGGCGTCTTGTCGTTCGATTGCTCTAAACACGTCCTCTTTGGTGGAGGGTACGGACTTCGGCGCTGGGCTTTTCATGTAGTAGATGTCGATATCTCCCCCATCTCGCACCCGCTGTAACATCTGGTTGAAGGTGAAAAGATCAGGACCGTCGTTTGGGCGGTTCAGCGCGATCCCCATGCCCCGGTGGTAGTGTTAAGCCTCTTGCGAGACTCCCGGCCCTATGGTCGAAGAGTATCCCAGACAGTGGACCACCATGTAGCGGTCTGAGTCAGTCACTGCATGTCGGAGCTGCTCTTTGTCCTCTGCTGAGGTTTTTCCGCCGTGAAAGGTGAGAGTCTTGTCCGTGCCAGTGAACATTGCACCAAATGCCCTCTCGAGTTGCGCAATGAAGGTTCTGCTCGTCGAGGAGACCTGCAAATTTCATAAGGTATGTCGACCATCAGATCAAGAGATAGAGGGGAGTCACCTAAGGCATCAATCCTAGGCCTCTCATAAGGAGCCAGTCAAGCACAAGCATCACCAACTTTCAAGCAGACACCAGTCCAATTCTCTTTATCACAACCAATATTTCATTGCATACAATCGTTCATGGTTGCCGACAAGCTGGAGGTACATCGCGGACGCTTCGAACTACGGCTGCAATGACCGCTGGTAGAATCAACGGCCATCAGAATCACGGCTAACAAAACTCACCCAAATGTTCTGTCCAGCCTCCACCTCGTCGAGAATCTGGTTAATGATCGGAGCAAACCGGGCCTCCAGCTTCCCCGAGGAGGGCATAGGCCAAATAGTAGCTGTCCGCTCCGACTCGCGAGCTCCCGTGTTCCAAATGGCGTGTATCAGAGTGTTTGGGCGGACCGCTTGAAGCCACTCGGTTACGCGCGGACTGTCCACATTCGCATCTAGCCCCACAACGATGCGTGCAACCCGGAGCATTGCGTGCAGAGCCATAAACACCGATTTGCGGTCCCTCATGACGTCGGAGTCAGATTGCCCAGGGTCACGTCCATCTCGTCCATGTAGACGATGTCTTTGTCAAGGGAGCTCAGTCGGGGCATGGAGCTGATGCAGATGACGACCCTCTCGTCTTCAATAGCCCAAGGCTCGACATCGGAGTAGAGCACGAAGTCCGTCAGCCCCGCTCGATGAAGCTCCTCCAGGTGCTTGTCAGCCAGCGCCACGTTGCTAGCGATGACGACACAACTGGCAGATGGGTTCTTCCCGAGCATCTCCACTAGATAGGTAGAACCGGCCTTCGACTTCCCGACCCCCTTGTTCGCTCTCACCAGGAGCGTCCGCAGAGTTTCCGGGTGGATCTTGACCGTGGGGTAGGGTCGCATTTCACTCGGCAGCGAGTACTCTTCGGTCCAGCAGAGGGACCTCTCAAGAGAGCAGAGACGCTCGATGCCTCTGCATCCAAATAAGCACGACGTTGAATCTACATAGCCAGTTTTCACGACGTGGTCCGGTTCCATCATGAATCGAGGTCGTTTCTGACTAACCGCATGACGTGGCAATCTGGTGGCGAGGCAACAAAGACGAGGACGCAATCTCGACTTTATAATGGGCGAGGCTACATTCAATCAACGAGCCCACAGTCAAAAGGGATTGGTCTTTATTAAAGAGAGAAGGGGTCGCTTTTTGACTGAATCAGCTTGTTGACAAGACAGCAACGAAGAGGTCGGCCTTCGTTCGGGCGCCCTGCTTTTCGTTTTTCCTTTCCCTTCTTGCGGCATGTTGTTCGAACACGGAGACGTCGCGTATGAGGTTCTGGCTTGATTGCTATGATCTGTGGAGCTTGTGAAAAGCCAGACCAGGCTGGTGTAGAAACGAGAACCGCTCATAAACTCACTGGCAGTTAGGTGAGAAGCATTTGTAGGCCGCCTCGGCTGGTCGTCGCCGACGGTAGACGAGATACTGCCCGTTGCCCTCGCTGGTATGCGTTCGCCCTGCAATGCAACAGGTCCGACTTTCCGGAGGGCTGCAGATGTGGACGCAAAAAACCCCTGAGCATAGTTGCTCGATCCGCCATAGCGTAGCCCCGGGATGATCCTGCTGACAGCACCTGAGCAGGCGCGCTCTCTCCTCCGGGCCGATGTCCCGTTTCAGTGGTTCATGCTGCTTGAAGGAATATCGTACGGGGATCTGTCGATCGCTGACACGGCCATGCGCCGCGCCACTCGATGCGCCACCCACTCCTGCCGCTGCGTTGTACTCTTGCAGCGGTCGGACGTCGATCTTGTGCGCGCGCGCCAGTTCTTGCTATTCGCGAACACCGATGAGGTGGTCGGAGACATGCTCTGAGCTACTCTTGTCCGGGCAGAGGATGCGCGTGCTTCCGAGTTTGCTTGAGCGGAGGGTGCGCCAGTTTCGGTTCCTCGAGAAACGGAATCATCCCAGATCTTTTCTCTCTTCAACCCGCTGTCGGGCTTCATGTATCCAATGAACTCCGCGCTGCGTGCCAGCTCCGCCGGAGGGTGGTCCAAGAAGTGGCTGAAGGCCGTTTTGAATTCAGTACGCGCCTCCAGATCCGAGAAGTAGACTCCCTTCCAAACCTCGTGAACGCTGCACTTGTAAAGACCGTGGGAAAGGGCTCCATGGGATGCAGCAACTTCAGGGGGCTGGAGTAGACCAGGAGGAAGCTGCATGATATGGGTGCAGAAGTGCTCGAAGAGGTGGTGGAGATGCTGGCGCCTCTCGAGAAACTCCTGTGGATCGTTGGCACGCAACGTGTAGTCGAGGTCCGAGTAGAGCCAAGAAGCCTCTGAAGCGAGCAGGATCTCGTACAAGTGCGGCGTTCGGCAGTCGGCGGCCATCCTTGCAGTGTATTCCTCGAAGGCTTGTGTGCTCTTGAACGCACTATACATCTTGGACCCGCCGGCGTTGACGTCTTGTGACGCAATGAAAGCCCCCGGTGGCATCGAGGTCTCCTGGAACGCGGCTTGTGCAGGTGCAAACCGGAAGTACCATGTCTGACCTCACTCGTCCACCTCGGAGGGCACCTCATAAAGACAAAAGCCACAAATTCCTCACTGTTCCATACTTCTGCGCCGTTTTCGAGCGGTTCTCAGAGTAGATTAAGAATGAGCCTTTAGCTTGCGGAAACACGTGTAAGCTCAAACAAGTTCGTTTCTGAGCGGGACCTTCATGTTGCTTCCAATTGTGGGCGGATAAGCTTATTCAGGTTCGACTTTGTAAAAGGCTGCCCACAAATGAAAGCACAATGCCTTCTACTTCGAGTGCCGTTCATGAATCGAGTGCCGTACTCCAAGTGAGGGCGTCATAGATCCACGGGGGCCAATCGGTCAATCGGCGCCCATCATGTTCTAGAGAAAGGGAGGGCCGTTTTGACTGCGGCGGGCCGGATGCTCGAGAGGGGCCAGTCAAAAGGCGCCCATCGTTTCCTAGAAGAAAGGAGGGCCGTTCTGACTCCGGCCCTTTTTCTGATCGCGGCAGGCCGGATGTTCGAGAGAGGCCAGTCAAAAGGCGACCCTCATTGTTTAGAAGAAGAAAGG